AGGGAGGGGGAAGGGGGAAGGTTTTGTTTGCTGGGCATTGGGTTTATGTGAATGGTGGCGGAATATTTTGGAAAAGGATAGCAATAATGGTGGGACAACTGAAAAATGTCATCAATGTCCCTGAGCTGTAAATATGGAAGTTGCTACGTTGACGAATGTCTTGTGTATGTTTTCACCACAATAAAAGTAAAAAAAAAAAAAAAAAAGATTTACAGCCTTAGAAACCCTATGGAGCAGTTCTATGTCCTATAAGGTTGCTATGGTTGGAATGGCAGTGGGTTGGGTGGCACTGTTATGAGGATTAGAGGTAATGTATATCAGGTGCATAGAAGCTCTATAAATAGGAATGATCATAGCTGGTAGATTCAGATGAATCTCTTTTTGTGCCTCCTCCTAGGAACTTGAAAGAGCTTTGGAGTCCTCCGGAGGTTCAAAGGGAGTGAATGAGATTTGGCCCAATCTCCCTAGCCTTGAGACGTATCCACAGGGCTAGGCTAAGGATCCTAGTTTCTTAACTTCAGGAATGAGTTTTATGGGGCCACATGGGTGGATGAGCTGAGTGATGTCTGACATTCAGTAGCAACTCTGGATCCTTGGTGCAATGGTTAAATGCTTAGCTGCTAACCAAAAAGTTGGTGGTTTGAGTATATCAGCCACTCCACCAGCTGCCTCTTAGGAGAAAAGACCTGGCAGTCTTCTCCTGTAAAGATTACAGCCTAGGAAACCCTGTGGGGCAGTTCTGCCCTGTCATATAGGATCACTAGGAGTCAGAATCGACTTGACAGAACACAACAATAAATGTGGGTGTATGTGCTAAGTGGTGCCTGACATTGAGCAGTAACTCTGAGCCCTTGAGGCCTGAGCCTAATTCCCCTTTCTGTCTGCAGTTTGGAGTTTGAGAATCAGAAGACTCGCTTGGGTATCCAGTTGGATTTTGAAAAGAACCAACTGAAGGAGGACCAAGATAAAGTGCACATGTGGGAGCAGACAGTGAAAAAGGATGAGAATGAGATAGAAAAGCTGAAGAAGGTAAGGAAGGAGAAAATGAAAAGATAGACTAAACACTGGGAAGAAATACTGGAAGAGATATGATGAAGAGAATGGTAATATCAGTAATTTATGAATCTCTCATCTAAATAAGAAAAACATCAACACCCGAATGAGGGGGTTGAAATGAGTAAGTGGCACAAACAATTCAAGAAAAGATTCAAATGGTCCTTAAACACATAGAAATAATGTAGCCTTATGAGTAATTAAAGAAATGCAAATTAAGGTAATTATTAAGGTAATGATCAGATGTAATTTGTTTCCTATCATATTAATTTTAATAAAAGAAGATAGTACTCAATACTGGCCATAGTGCATGAGACCAGTATTATGCAGTATGCCACCATTTGTGAAGAATATTCAGAATGCATTTATACCCTCTAATTCAGTTATACCTGAGGAAATAATCTAAAATACTGACAAAGCTTTGTGCATGCAGGTGATAATTATTGCAAGCATCATTTAGTTCTAAATTGGAAATTACCAGTACCCTTTGGGAAGCAGGAATTTAATAAATTATGCTATATTTATATAAATATTTGTGTAGTTTAGTGGTCTTTAAACTTTAGTAATACACAGGCCTCTTTTAAAGGAAAAATATTTCCTAAGTCCCCAGTGTTGGCTCAAAAAAACATTAATGTTAAAACATATACACATGTATATTTCAAACACTTAACCAAAAAGGTAATTGTTGTTGTTTGTTGTTATGTGCCGTCGAGTCGGACCTGACTCATAGTGACCCCTCCTTGGGTTGCCGAGGCAGTATCACTATGGAAGTAGATTGCCCCATCTTCCTTCCGAGGAGTGGCTGGTGGGTTTGAACCGCCAGCCTTCTGGTTAACAGTCAAGTGCCTTAGGCATTATGCTACCAGAGCTCCTAAAAAGGTAATACAAACCTAAAAATACTAGCAAAACTAGTAAAATTCAAATCAGCTACATTAGTTTAGTATGCCCATACTACTGTTTATTATATGATAATTACGTTCTCCCACACTTTCTCTGTAAATTACTATGAAACCTTTGTTCCTTACAGCATCCCCTCCTAAAGTGGTTTGGTCTTTACCTGGTTTGAACATACCATTTGACTTTTATGTCTGCATGTTTTGTTTGTTTGCCTATTGGTTTGCATTACCCTTTGGCTACTAAAGCTGTCCTCTTTTATATCAATGGAATCTTAAATATTAAATGGAAGTTGGGCAGTAAAATCCTGGGGCAGAACTAGATGGACATCTAGATAATCCAGAATAATAATGTTTATGTGACTTTCTCCCTTTTTATTTTGAAAGAGTTTTAAACTTAGCAGAAAAGTTGTAAGAATAGTACAAAGAACTCCCATATATACCCTTTATTTACTAGGATTTATTGGTCATAAATATTTTGCCACATTTGCATTTTCATTGCCTTCATGTATGTATATTATTGTTTTTTATGAATCATTTAAGAGTAACTTGCTGGTATGTCCTTTTTATGTAGCTTTTTATTCTCCTTTTAAAAAAATCAGAACATTTGAAGGCTACAGTCCCCTTTGACCACTCTGAATTCTAGTCCCTTATTCTCTTTCCAGAGGTAATCTCAGTTTAGTTTGTATTCTTCAAGAACTTTTTCTATAATTAATGAAATACTTTTATATTCATATATATGTTCTTGTAGAAAATACACAGTATCATTTATTTGTGTTTCTTTGAAAACATAAATGTTGTTATACTACTCATGACAGGCAGTTTCTGATGTGGAAAAATGCTTAAAAATAACATTAAGTCAGAATATAGAGTTTTATTACACTCCAGTCTCAATTATGTAAAACTGTCTATAAATAATACTGGGAGGAACTATGTAAAGCTGTCTATAAATAATGCTGGGAGGCAATATGCTAAAATGTTAATTGGTTATCACTGGCTAGTGGGATTATGATTTTTTTTTCTTCTGCTTCATACTTTTTGTATACTTTGAATTTTTTTACAACAGGCATCTTGGATAATTGGAGTGGGTGGGGGAAGCAACCAAATAATTTCAAGAAAGATAATGAAAGAGGCTTGAGCGTGATTGCAGGTTGTGGAATCAGAGCTCACTGAAGAGAAGCTCCACCATATTACCTGGTGGAAAGGGTAGGATGGGGAGAAGATCCTAAGGTGAGCTGGGGAAAGCCTTCACCTCTTTTCCTATTCCCCTGCTGGGGCCAGGAGGAGCAAAGACATATGAAGATCATAGATGAGACCATGGCCCAGTTGCAAGACCTGAAGAACCAACACCTTGCCAAGAAGTCGGAAGTGAATGATAAGAATCATGAGATGGAGGAGATTCGTAAGAAACTGGGAGGTGCCAACAAGTAAGTGGGTTCAGGCTCGGGGTGAGGAGAGAAGGTAAAGCAGGCATCCTGCTGGATTTGGGTCTCACCTAGCTCCCTGAACCTTCTTAGGGAAATGACCCACTTACAGAAGGAGGTGACAGCCATTGAGACCAAGCTTGAACAGAAGCGCAGTGACCGCCACAACCTGCTACAGGCCTGCAAGATGCAGGACATCAAGTTGCCACTGTCTAAGGGCACCATGGATGATATTAGTCAGGAAGAGGTGAGCATTATTGCTGGTGGTGGGAGTGGGCTGTGAGCAACATTAACCAGGGATGGGAAATGACAGTGGCCAGGAGGAGCAGATAAGAGAAAGGATGATAGGCAGGGGATGGTGTGAGATATTGGAGGGATATAGGGGAAGTTAAGCAAGGTGGAGTTGTGAAGGTAGGAGGGATAAAAGGTAACAGGCTTGGTTTGAGAGGAAAGTTGAATTGGGGTGGGGCAGGGGGTACTGTATGCCAATTGGTGGTGAGGGAAGTAAGCCAGGAGAGTATGAAGTCATTCATTAACTTTAGGAACTTGAGCTATGTTAGTCCCACTGCGTGATGGATAATAGTGATGAATTTCAGAGTGGGAATTGAGGAACATTAACCAAGAGCAAGAACCAAAGATGATGGGAGATTGAGCAGACCTGAGGTATAAGAGCTGCAGCAAGGGAAGTTGGCAAGGAGAGGGTGGAGTAAGGGACATCAGCAATGCAGAGGTAAGGAAGCTTAACTATATAGGAAAGAGGGACACTAGACAAGAGGGAAAGCATGAGATTGTATTCATTGGAAGTGAAGATTGATATTGAAGGGGTGGGGAATATTAACTGAGAGGTTTGGATATGTCTTGTCTTAGACTTGGACATGTATTTTAGTCCCCCAGGTCTTTCTTCCTCCCTCCTCCCAAATAAAATTTCAGTTTAATTCAGTAAAATATTTTGAACACCAGAAATGTGTCAGACATCACAGTAGCACATGACATAATTGCTCTAATCATAACTATGGCCCTGCCGGACAGGCATTATCCCCACATTACAGGTGAAGAAACCTGGGGTCAGAAAGCATGGCTTGCTTGGGATCACACTGTTAGTGCCAGAACCCAAGTTTGAACTCATATCTTTCTATCTTCAAAGCTGCTATTCCATTTGCCACACTGCTTTCTAGCAAGGTGCTTTCTCAAAGACATTGAAGGCTGCGAAAGAACTCCCAAATTCCCTCCCTCTCCTCAGAGGGGCATTCTCATGGCAAGTCTGCTCCATTAGAATCTCCCTCTCACTGTTGCAGGGTAGCTCCCAGGGGGAGGATTCAGTGAGTGGTTCCCAGAGAACTTCCAGTATCTATGCCCGAGAGGCTCTCATTGAGATTGACTATGGCGACCTGTGTGAGGATCTAAAGGTAAGGATTAGCTGTGGGATTGGGGGTGGGAGGTATGGGATGGGTAGCCATCTTCCCAGCTGCTCAGAGAAATGGGGTCAGCCTCTTTGGGCCCTACAGAGACCAAGGATTGAGTTGTGACCCAGTCTCCCCCATTACACACACAAAGACATATGTACATTTCCCACCTCCACTCCCACTTGTTTTGTCCTTGCCCCTTTACCCCTTCCATGTATATATACGTGTAAACCTGGATACACATAGAACAGGTTCCTGTACAGTGAATGGATAATCCTCAAGCATTCCCCAGGGCTCTCACCTAGGTACTCTTTCCTTTTTACTTAGCATTCTGTCACGTATCTCTTCAGCTCTCCTAGCTTCAGATGCTATCTCTACGCTGAGTCCCTTAGGTACCTCCAACACCAGCCTTCTTACCTAAATCTGCCCCTCCTTAGTGCTACCCATATACTTGAACCAGAAGTCTGAGCATCATCCTTGACTCTCAAGTCACACACAGTGACTTACCTCTAGTGACTCTCACCCTGGTAATTCTACCTCCTAAATATCTGTTGAATTTTGATTTATTCTGTTCCACCATTTCTCTATTTCAGGGCACTTTCATCCCTCACATAGACTATAGTGTGTAGGAGCTTCCTAAATCATTTCAAAAAAAAAAAAAAACCAAACTCACTGTTATCGACTTGATTCCAACTCATAGTGACCCTGTTTGGATTTATGAGGCAGTAAATCTTTACGCAAGTAGATTGCACAGTCTTCCTTCCATGGAGTGGCTGGTGGATGTGAACTGCCGACCTGGCTAGCAGTCAAAAATGCCTTAGGCACTATGGTACCAGAGCTCCTTAAATCGTTTCCAGTGGTTTATAATTCATACATCATCATTAAAGCCACAGAGGCTTAATTTTTTAAAAAAATTTTGTTGAGAATATACATAGCAGAACATATACCAATTCAGTAGTTTATCTTTTTTTCTGTCTATAGTAAGCTGTCATTTTTAAAAAATTGTTTATTTTTATTTTGCAGTGTTCCCTTCCCTCTCCTCCCACCCCTGGTAACCAACAAAGACAGTTTTCCTTCCATATGTAAACCTTTCCTTGACTTTTTACAATAATGAACTAATACAATGTTTGTCCTTCTGTGATTGACTGACTTCACTCAGCATAATGTCCTCCAAGTTCATCCATGTTCTGCAGTGTTTTGTAGATTCTACATTATTTTTTAGTGTTGCGTAGTATTCCATTGTATGTATGTATCATAGTTTGGTTATCCATTCTTCTGTTGATGGACACGTAGGTTGTTTCCATCTCTTTGCTATTGTAAATAATGCTGCGATGAACATGGGTATACATATATCTGTTCTTGTCCTGGCTCACACTTCTTTAGGATATATGCCTAATATTGGAGTTGCTGGATCAAATGGTATTTCTACTTCCAAGTTTTTAAGAATTCCATACTGATTTCCACAGTGGTTGTATCCTTTTACAGTCCCACAAGAAGCATATGAAAGTCTCAGTTTCTCCACATCCTCACCAGCATTTGTTATTTTCTGTCTTGTTGAACTGTGCTATCTGTGCTGGGGCCAGATGGTTTATCATTGTTGTTTTGATTTGCATTTCTCCAAGGGCTAATGATTGTGAACATTTCTTCATGTGTTTGTTGGCTGCCTCAGTATCCTCTTTGGGGAAGTGTCTATTCCTGTCTTCTGCCCATTTTTTAATTGGATTATTTGTCTTTTTGTTGTTGAGGTGTTGGAGTTTTCTATAAATTTTAGAGGTAAGTCCCTTGGCAGATATGATGTTGCTGAATATTTTTTCCCAATCTGTAGGTTCTCTTTTGATTCTTCTGGAGAAATCTTTGGAAGCACATAAAAATTTAATTTTTAGAAGGTCCCATTCATCTAGTTTATCATCAGCTGTTTGAAGATAAACATGGTTTATCTTCAAAGTAGTGTTTTGTAGTTTTCTTTATACATGGTTTCCTTTATACACAACATGGGTTATGTTTGAGAGTCTGTTTATGCCATAAATTGTTGTTGTTGTTGTTATGTGCCATTGAGTCAGCCCTGACTCATAGCGACCCCTCCTTGGATTTCCGAGGCGATATCACTACAGAAGTAGATTGCCCAACCTTCCTTCCGAGGAGTGGCTGGTGGATTTGAACCGCCAGCCTTCTGATTAG